GATCAATAACTCATGGAATAAATCAAGGAATAAATTAGACAGTTCCCACAATCAAATGATAATGCCAGTCCAATATACCAGAACCTATGGGACACAATGAAAGCAATACTAAGACAGAAGTTTATGGCTCTGAGTGCCCACATCAGAAAAACAGAGTGAGCCCAACTAAAAACCCTAATGGTACACCTTAACATCCAAGAAAAATGAGAAGAATTCAACTTCAAAGCTAATACAAGGAAGAAAATTATAAAGAGCAGACCAGAAATTAATAAAATCAAGACTAAAGCAACAATACAAAGAATCAATGAATTGAATAGCTAGTTCTTTGGAAGAATAAACAAAATAGATAAACCTTTAGACAATCTTACCAAAGAAAAGACACAAATCAATGTGATTAGAAATGATAAGGTGCGGGGCCGGGGATTTAGCTCAGTGGTTTTGCTTCCTGCTGCGCAAGCGCAAGGACCAGAGTTCAATCCCTGGGACGAAAAAAAAAGAAATGAAAATGTGAGTCAGTTGTGATGGTGCACGCCTGTAATCCCAGCACTTGGGAGATTGAAACAGGAAGATCACTGTGAGTTTGAGGCCATCCTGGACTACATAGTGAGTTCAAGTCCAGCCTGAACTACATAGCAAGGCCCTGTCTCAAAAAATAAAATAAAAAAAAGAAATGAAAAAGTGAAATCACAATAGACAGTGCCAAAATTCAGAAGATTTGTAGAAACTACTTCAAAAATCTACACTCCAATAAGAGAATCCAGAAGAAACTGATAGATTCCTAGATACATATAATTACCAAAATTCAACCAAAAAGATATAAAAACCCTGAATAATCCAATAATAGGCAAAGAAATTGAAGTGGTAATAAAAGACCTACTAAGAAAACCCAATGTCCCAATGGATTCAGTGCTATATTTTTATAAGAACTTTAGAGAAGCCCTAATGCCAATACTGCCCAAATTGCTTAAAGAAATGGAAAGGGAAGAAGTATTCTCAAAGTCACTTCTGGAAGCTAGAATTATCCTGATTCCAAAACCAGACAAGGACCCAACCAAAAAAGAGAGCTACAGGCCAATTCTTTAATGAACTTTGAGGCAAAAATCCTCAACAAAATACTAGCAAACAGAATGTAGTGAATCATCAAAAAGATCATACGTCGTGACCAAATAGACTTTGTTCCAGAAATGTAGGGATAGTTCAACCCACAAAAATCAATAAATGCAATACAACAGATAAACAGAAGAAAGGACAAAAATCACATGATCATCTCAATAGACACAGAAAAAAGCCTCTGACAAAATCCAGTGCCCATTCATGATAAAACCCCTGAAGAAAATAGGTATGAAAGGACATTATCTCAATCTGATTAAAGCTTCTTATGACAGACATACTGCCAACTTTATATTAAATGGAGGTAAAACTAAAAGCTTTCCTTCTAAAATCAAAGCATGACAAGGATGTCTACCATCACCACTCCTAATCAATAAAATTCTCAAAATATTAATCAGAGCAATCAGGCAGGAGAAAGAAATAAAAGGGATATGTATAGGAAAGGAAGAAGTTAAATTATCATTATTTGCAGATGGCATGATCCTTTACACAGAAGACCCAAAAAAATTCCACCAAAAGCCTTCTAGAATTAATAACTGAATTCAGTAACAGCAGAACACAAAATCAACACACAAAAGTCAATGGTATTCCTCTACACCAATAATGAACTCACTGAGGAAGAAATTAGGAAGGCACTACCATTCACAATAGCATAAATTCTTAGAAATTAACCTAACCAAGGAAGTGAAAGACCTCTACAATGAAAACTACAGTGCTCTGAAAAAAGAGATCAGTCAAAGAGAACATCAGAAAATTGAAAGATATCTGCAATTTCTAGATAGGCAGAAAAAATATTGTCCAAATGGCCATACTTCCAAAACTGATCTACAGATTTAATGCAATCTCAATAAAAATACCAACAACGTTCCTCACAGAACCAAAAAAACAAACCTAAAAATTCATATTGAACCAGAAGAGACCCAGAATAGCAAAAGCCATCCTGGGCAACAGGAGCAAAGCAAGAGGCATCACAATCCCAGATTTAAGTTATATTACAAAGCTGTAGTGATAAAAACAGCATGATACTGGCAGAAAAACAGATCCGTGGATAGACAGAACAGAATAGAGGATGCAGAAAAAACTTTGAGCATGTTCAGCTATCTGATCTTTGACAAAGGGGCCAAATACATACACTGGGGGGAAATAATCTCTCTAATATATGGTGTGGGGAAAACTCATTATCCACATGCAGAAGACCAAAGCTAGATTCATTTCTCTTACCATGTGCTAAACTAATATCTAAATGTTAATACAGAAGCACTTAATTGCTGGAAGATAAAATAGGTAAAACTCTTGAAGACATAGGCATTGGCAAGTTCTGACCAAAACAGAATCCCAGTTGACTAGAAATAGTACCAAGAATCAACAAATAGGATCATACCTAATTAAAAATTTTCTGCACAGCAAAGGAAAAAACCAACAGAGTAAAAAGACAACCTACAGAATGGGAAAACTATTTGCCAGCTACACTTTGGACAGAAGACTAATATCTAGAATAAAGAACTCAAAACATCATACCCTCCAAAATTAAACACCTAATCAAAAGATGGGCAGCTAAAATGAATAGATACTTCTCAGAAGAACTACGAATGGCCAATAGATATATGAAAAAAATGTTCAACCTCACTTGCCATTAGAGAAATGCAAAGTAAAACAACACTGAGATTACACCCTACTCCAGAAAGAATGGCTATCATTCTGAAATCAAATAATAACAAATGCTGTCAATGCTTTGGGGTAAAAGGAACACTTCTTCATTGTTGGTGAGATTTTAAACTACTGCAACTATCATGGAAATCAGTATGGAGATTCTCAAAAAAACTAAAACTAGCAATTTCATATGACCCAGCTATTCCCCTTCTAAGTATCTAAGAGTTAAAGTCATCATATTACAGTGACACATGAATACACATATTTAACAGCACAACTCAATAGCTAAATCTTGGAAGTAGCCTATATGTCCATCAACAGATGAATGAATAAAGAAAGTGTGGCATTTATACACAATAGAGTACTACTCTACCATAAAGTTGAGTTATTTGTGGAAGAATTGAGAACATATTCTTAAGTGAAACAAATCAGACACACAAGCTTAAATATCATACAATTTCTCTTATATGAGAAGCCCACAATATAAAGAGCAAAATAAAAGATAAGAGGAATTAGGGAAATATGTCTTTTGCAAAAGGGAGAAGGACCAAAAGATGGAGTTAGGGACAGGGAGGAGAGGGGAAGGAGATGAAAAAAAAGAAGTAAGATGTGCCATGAACATCTACCAACTCCTCATAAGGAATGTAATCATTATGTACTGCAAAGGTACCAATACAAAAATAAAATTTAAAAAGAAGTAACTAAGAAGAATCATCTGGGAAACCTTTGATTTCAGGTTCTGAAGGGCTAGTGGAAAAGTCCAGTGTAAACTCCTCACTTGAGGGGATACTCTCCCAAATTGAAATCATAGAAAGGGAGAACATGAGAAAAGTCCTGAGCTCTGACTCACCACCTTAGCTCAGAAGTTGGCTGACCCCATCCTGGCAACAACCATAAATCAAATGATCTTTACGTTGACACATGAGAAAGACAGTTGGTGCCAGAGAAGGCTTCCTCCAACAGCTCACCAGATATGAGAAGATCGTAGTTGACAGAATGGATTCTAAGATACAGAGAATTGTCCGTTGCTGGTCTGGCTGATCCTGAGAGCTGATAGAGGAGCAGACAACATCATACGATTTGTAGAGAAGCATCCTAGATGTCGAGAACTTCACCCAAACCCATGGGTAAGGGATGATTGAGGATTACCTAGCATGAATACTCCATGAATTAAAAGACTGATGAAAAGAGGTGAGACAGAACAGAGATCAACACAAAGCTAAGTGTTATCAAGTCTGGGAAGAGCCAATAACAGAAATGAGAAAGAAAAACAAGGCATTCTGCCTATCATCTCATCCCAGAGGGAGGTCTCCCTTAAGAATTAGGAATCTATCTCCCCGAACCTTTTAATTTCCCAGTTACTTTTTTTCAGTGAAACTAATGTCCACAAAATGGGGATGGGGGAATCAAAGTAAAAGCAACATGTTTTTGCAACTTAATATTGAAATAGCATCCTATCATTTCCCCAATATTCTATTAATTAAATTAGAAGTGAGACACTAAGTCTAGCCCATACTCAGAAAAGGAAATTATGCACGGGCATAACTACCAGCAGGCAGGGATCATGGTGAGTCATCTTAGAGGCTGCCTACCATAATAAATAGATGCAAAAATTCTTAACAAAACTTGAAAAAAATCAAATATAACCACACAAAAATGAATTATAATCATGATTAAGTGAGGTTTAGCCTAGAATTGCTAAATTAAATATTTATAAATCAATCAATGTAATTCACCATATTAAGAAACTAAAAATGGAAAGCCATCCAATCATTTTAATTCCTGCACAAAAAGTCTTTAACAAAATCCAACATCATGTTAAAAAAAAACAGCAGGCAAAAAATAGAAAGAAACTTCTTCAACCTGATAAGGGAATCTACAAATTCCAATACCTAATATATGCTTAATATTAAAAGACAAAATGATTTCCCCCTAAGCATGGTACTGAAACTAGGATTACACTCATTACTCCTATTCAGCATTATATTAAGAACCTAGCAAGTCCCATAAAAAGAAGAAATGAAAAACAGAAATTGGAAAGGAAAAAAATAAAACAATGTTTAGTCACAGGTAATATGATCATCTATGTAGAAAATGCTAAAGAACTTCCTAAAAAGCTATTGAAATCAACTAAGGAATTTAGCATGGCTGTACATTACAAAGTGAACATATAAAAGTCAGTTTTATTTCTATATACAAATAAAATCAGAAATTAAATTAAGCCTTTGCAGTACATTTACCAAAAGTTATATATAAAATATGTGTCTGCCGCAGACCAGCTGCAGTCGATGCAGGGTAGGAAGGGGAGAGGTCTCGGGCCGGCGAGTGAGAAAAGAACCTTCGCAAGCAATGTGCAGGTTCCCTCTGAGAAGTCTCAGGGTCTGATTTATTTTTATATCTTTAAGCAATGGCCAGGAGGCA